GCCCTGCCGGCCCCTCTCCTGCGGCCGGACTTCCCCCACACCTCCAGCCCCTCCCCACGTCCAGGCGCTCCAGCATTTCGCCGCCTCCTCCCCCCCACTGGCTTCCCAAAAGCTCTCCCCTCGCCCAGGAATTGCATTGAGCACCCCAATGCCCTCATGTCAGTGGGAGCGCCTCGGATGTCAAGAAGTAAGACCGGGACTCTTCCAGGCCCTCTCAAACCCCTTTCAGGAGGCTGGGTCTGTGCCCGCTCCTCACCCCCAGCACCTGCCCCAGTGCCTCCCTCTGAGATGCTCTCCCCACCCCTCTTTCCCAGGCCTCCGGATTCCAGCTCTCTCATCCCTTTTCCTCCAGGACACTCACGGGCGCTGGCGCTGGCCCGGGGAGTTGGTGCAGTCGCCCCAAAGCCCGCGGAAGGGCCAGGCACAGTGCCCGCTGGGGGAGTGGGCAGCGAAGGGAAGGGGCAGTGTCCGGGTCCCTCGTCGGCTCCATCCAGGCGGTCCCAGATTCCGTCACACAGCAGGACGGCCCCCACGCAGGTGCCATCAACGCAGGACAGCTCCCCAGGAGAGCAGTTCAGCTGCCCCGCAGCGGGAGAAAGCGGGAGCTGGTCCCAAGGCACTGCCCCTTAAGCTGGCTGTTTGGGGTGCCCCCATTCACACACCTGCGGGTGCGAGCTTCCTAGCAGGAACCTGAACTGGTGAAGGAGGGGAGGCAGGAAGGTTGGGGCTCAGTGGGAGGGGCTGCCTGGTGGACTGGAGTCCTGAGCTAGCCCACCCACCCAGACAGGCCTCCTCGTCAGCGGCGTCCGGACAGTCGGGATGCCCGTCACAGAGCAGGGCGGGGGGCAGGCAGCGCCCATCAGTGCAAGCCAGCGTGTCATGGGGCCATGGGCAGCCCTGCTCGTCCGTCCCGTCTCCACAGTCGTCTTGCCCGTCACAGAGCAGGGCCAGGGGCAGGCAGTGGCCGGAGCGGCAAGACATCTGCCCCTCCCCACAGCCTGGTGTGGCACAGCCTGGCATGGGGCAAGCAGGCAAGGTCAGGATGACAAAGGGTCCTAGAGGAGCCCCCCGACGCCGGAAAGACCAGAACAGCCCTGCCCACCAGCCGTAACTGCTGCCACTGTGAGGAGCAGCTCAGGACACGCTGTAGCGACGCGTTCAAGGACTGACCGTCACTCAGCCACTGCCCCAGCCAGGCAAGGACACTCACCCTCCTCGTCTGAGCCATCGCCACAGTCATCCTGGTTGTCACAAAGCCGCCTGTGGGGCACACAGTGCCCACTCTCCCGGCATGGGGCCTCTCCCTCCGCACAGCCAGGCTCCAGCTCCTCACAGCGGGTAGTGTCGCTCTCGCAGAGCCACTGGCTTTCCTGGCATGTGCTGAGCGCACAGCATCCTGGGATCAGTCACAGCGCTGGGCTTTGCCAGCCCGGGGGTAGGGGGGCTCCCCAGGACCCCCCCCCCACTCACCAGTTCCCACAGTCCTTCTGTAGCACAGTCCCCGGCGGGAAGAAGCTGCCCTCTGACTCACAGGGGCAGGAAGCTGGTTCTAAGCAGACTCCTCCTGGGGTCACAGAGGGCAGGACTGGAGCAAGAGGGGCACAGCGGCCCCTAGT